TGTGATTGAACTTCACACTTGTTACCACCCCGTCGCACTTGTATCGAAATATACTATTTTGTTTACAACTTTAAAAGTGATGAAAAGTGCCACTTTTCGCACAAAAATCTGTAAACGAAAAGGGACTTTTCCAAGCACGTGTTTCAAAAATGAATTTTATTATAATATTTATACAGGGTGTCCCATCTGAAAAGATGCGGCTAAATATCTCTCAAGGGGGGCGGGTAACAAAAAAATGTTTGATAGAAAAATTGTAGGGTTTCGAGGGGGACATCCGATGTTGTCATTATTTTGAGCTTTCAAGCTCACGCTTGCAAGCTGCAAGCACAAAGTGCTTTTTTTCAAATGGCAACCGCATTTTTTACTCCAATGAAACATGTTCATCTTGATGAGTTGTTTTCAGAAACCTCGTCATTCATTTAATTTCATCTCATTTTACTCGAAAAATGTCACAAAAACGAGTTCTGTGGTCAAATTCAAGATTCAAACATCCTTGGCGCATCTTGGTGTAATTGTTCCATTGATCTATTTACACACCGGAATTATCAAATGTAAACAATAAACAAAACCTTTCCCTACTCCTTCGAGGATTCTTTTATTCTAATCGGTGCCAATTCAACCCGAATCAAGTTAGTATCACTTGTTATTTCATTGACCACATCACGATGTATTCAGCCAGTAAAATTCTCGATATTTTACTTGTTTTGGGAGAGTGTAGGGGAGTGTATCGAGCCGCTGCTCGAACATATCGAGAACGATACCGCAATCGACTATATTATCCTACAGATTTAGTTATCCGGAGGATCAACAGGAGTTATAGAAGAGGGAGAATCCTTCGAGGACGACAACAACAAGTACAACAAGGTATTAATCCTGTTGATCCCCGAGCTGTTGCAATATTAGCTATGATTCACATGAATCCTCACATCAGTGTGAGAGTGCACGTGGTGCATCCTGGGTCACGCTAAAAAAGTCTGAATCTTCAATTTGGCCACAAAACTCTTTTTATGGCATTTTTCGAGTAAAATGAGATGAAATTAAATGAATGACGAGGTTTCTGAAAACAACTCATCAAGATGAACAAGTTTCATTGGGGTAAAAAATGCGGTTGCCATTTGAAAAAAAAAGCACTTTGTGCTTGCAGATTGCAAGCGTGAGCTTGAAAGCTCAAAATAATGACTACATCGGATGTTCCCCTCGAAACCCTACAATTTTTGTATCAAACATTTTCTTGTTACCCGCCCCCCTTGAGAGATATTTAGCCGCATCTTTTCAGATGGGACACCCTGTATATTTATATATTATATATAGTAATAATAACAATACTAACAATACTAATAATACTAATAATAATAATATATTATAATATATATATATATACATAATTTTATTATATATATATATATTATAAATGATTTTTTTTCAGTTTACTCGCTTTTTTACTTCTTTTATACGATATGAAAATTATTATCCTATTTTTAATCCCAAGAGACAATTTTTGTTTAGAATCACAGCTACAAAAAAAGAATCCCCTCGACACTTCCCAAGATAAAACCCGATAATCAAAGCACCGAATTAAACTCCCCCAGAAAAGCCCCTGTCATGTCTTCAAATGCTCGAACATTCCCAACGACTCTTCAAGAACCTCCACACCCAGAATAATAAACACCTCGACCCTCCCTCACCCCAAAGCCCCAACCCCAATTCCCAAATTTAAATCTCCATTCCCCATTCTTCCCCCTCGAATCACTTGAGCACAATCACCCCAGAACTGACGAAATCAATGGAAATTCAATTGAGTAGACACGCACAGTACCCATGAAAATTCACGAGATGAAAAACTCACGATAAATCTCACTAGAGAACTCTACAAAAAAATGATCATAAAAAAAACGCAAAGAGAAAGTTAAAAAAAAATAAGGGAGTGAAATAGCGGTGAATTCGCGGTGATGTTCGGTCGATCGGTTTCTCGCGGGCGATTTCAAGTTTCTCCATTCGCTTCATGCACATTCCCTCTCACACCCCATCTTCAGTCTCATCCCCCGCTCGCGCCAGAGGTCGAAACTTGGCTCTTGACTTTTATTCAAACTCTCGGCTTTTCCACGCTGTATTTTTCTAGGATCGATCTTTTTCCCGAATATTCCCTATTCCTCTTTTGATTCTCATCCCCTCAACTCTCTCTCCGATCGACCCAAGACACGCGGATTTGACTCGGGGAATTTTATATTAGGTCAGCACACCGAGAGAGAATATTGCCCGGGAGTGAAATGTAAGGACCGCATGGAAAAGAGGGAAAAGGAGTTGGAAAAGAACACGCGGCGGGAGGTATGAATAATGCTCGATTTAAAGTTTGATTGGAATTGCTGTCGGACACGCGATAGGATATCCCCGAGACTCTTTCCCCACCCCAATATTTTTTTTTATCACCGTCTTTCTTTATTTTTCTTTCACTTCCCATTCTCCTTTGTCAAAAACTTGCCAGCGAAACGAAACGCCTGGAATGTGTCTCGAAAAATTGGAGGAATTGTTGGGCACCGTTTTGGGAGACAATGAACATTGTGAGAATGTCTAGGGAGAAATGAAATTGTTTTTGTATTTTTTCAATGACGAGTTTTTCCTTTTGATTTGAAAACTTGAGGAGATTGAAGATTTCAAGTTGTCTCAGTGGAGCCCAGTTGGAATCCAAGGCCAGGAAGTTGCTGGTTGTCTTGTTTTTGTAGTCATTTATCCTGGATTTGAGTTATTCTGGGAGAAAATTACAGGAAAAAAGTATTCTGCCATTTCCTCCTAACATTACTCGTTTTTGATATAATGAAAAATTGATGAAAGAAAAAGATGAATCTATTTCAATCAATGAAATTTGAAATGAGTGCGTAAAGTGAATTTTACGCACTCGTGCACAAAAACAACCACATTACCCCCACTACCGTTCCAAAAAGTGAACTCAGCAGATACCACAAAAAATAGGATGTGTTATACGTGCGTGTGAAAAAGTCAAACTTTACGCACTAGTATCATAATATACTATTTTGATGCGTGGGAAGTGTGCAGCGCTCGCCGAAGGCGTGTGCTACCCGCCCAAGTGTCAAAGAACACTTTTCCCACGAGTGACGAATTGTATTGTTCATCACAATGTGTGGAACGTGAATTTGGCGCACGCGGAGCGTGCGTAAAATTACACTTTACGCACAAGTGATGAAAGAAAGTTGAAATGGTTCCACTAGTTTTGAAGATGTTTGCGAAAAACGACTTAACCCTCCTGTAGTCGCACGTCTTCGCTGAACGTCGTTAGTCGCGTGGTAAGCGCTGCGCCGTCCGTACATTCTCGAGCGCAGCGTTGTCACAGCCATACGACACTACACGGAGAGAAATATTCAAGAAAAATTACGGAACATTTCACGTAATCCGCAAGCGAGAATCGTTTTCAGTGAATTTCTATAGGAATATAAGAGAATACATCTGAAAAGTTCAGTAAATTTTCGGGTCTGTCAACGAAAAAATACGAAAAAGTCATGTAATTTTTCTGGAAGTTGTAAAATCTAACAGAAACTTCAAGACTTATTATGTCTCAGAACATGAAAATTCTTGGATGTTTAAGAATTTTTACGAAAAGTTCCGGAAAAATTACGGAACGTGTTGTTAAAATCTCCCCCTCACGGTGACTCATGGCTAGCCGTGAGGCGTCAGACGGATGAGTAATTTTTACGGAACAGATCGTAGAATTTACGTGACGATTGACACTTTTTATTGAATTTTACTTCGCTCCCAGATTACGTTTCGAAACGTAATTTTTACGTCTTTTTTCTGGTAATTTTTATTGAATATTTCTCTCCGTGTATAAACATATCACCGACCAGCGACCCCCCACTCCGCAAACACTGCTTGGGACTACCACGAGGGTCGGCAACACTGCTCGTCAAATTTCCCCTACGAGAGTGGCCGCACGGCGAACGCTGCGTTCATTCTCGCTAACCACGCTCGACAAAAAAATTAATTGAGAAAAAACTTGTCAGTGCAGGGCAACCCTACCGTATTTAATCTCATCAGGACATATCATTTGAGAAACTCGTAAGCAGGCAGAGCGTAATTCATCACAGTTCTAGAGATATCGTAAAAATAACAAAGACGGCGGCGTTCAGACCATAGCGCGACCACTGGAGGATTGAAAACGAATCGCTCTTTCTCAAGAACTATTAGATCGATCGGGCTGAAATTTTACGTAGCGTTAGTCCTTATTAAGAACTATAATCTGACAATATTTCAGATTTTTTTAAATCACTCTACCCACTTAATTACTCAATTTTCTACAAATAGATCAGCGGGAAGATGACGGTGGACATGCTCACATACATACATGGTCGCCAAGCGTTTCGTTTTTTTACGTTTCAGGCCATTCTACATAGTTTCCAATCAAAATTAGAGAATGTCAAAATCGGACGATTACAATGTAATCTTACATTCGGAATAAAAAACCGTCTATCCCGTCAATAACGAATCTTTCGCTATTGATTCTTAACAATAATTCAAGCGTGTTCAATTCTTCCTTATACTTCTCAACTTCTCCCAGCCATAACGATCACCACAGCAGTTTACATGAATTTATCCGAAAAGAAAAGAAAGAACCACAAAAAAACAATTCTTTCTGTGCCGACGTTTCGAATTCACTAAGAATTCTTCATCAGGGCAGTGTATTTAATCTAAAACAAAATTACAAAAACAAAATTTCAACCTGTCATTTTAAGCAGTCAGTAAATTAAGTTGTCACAAAGAGTCTTAAAACAAAAATAAAATGACGGAAATAGTTCACTTAAATGTCCAATGATGTTATGGACATTCCAAAAACGTCAAAAGATACCAAAACCATTGAGATTTGCTGTTGACAATGCAAGTCTCCTCCATAACCTACAATTCAAACATTACCATCCTTAAAATTTATTCGAAGATTGGGAATATCTTTCACATATTATTTCTGAAATATTTTTTCTCTATTTATGTTTCAGGTAAAACCCATAGACCGCCGTAAAAATTCCGTAGTGCAAAACCACCCCCTGAAACTTACAACCGAATGAATTGACAGAATCTCCGACGACATCCGAGTGAGGGTCCACGAGTGAAGTAGAAAATTTTTTAAAAAATGATAAATCAATAAAAATTTCTACGAACGGTTACATAAGTTCCTAAGTTGACTTCCGGCTGGACGACTCTGTCCCGCTCCGTGTGTCAAGTTCGGTCACGCTTGGGCGATTCAACTCTGTTCGCATCGCGTGAGCCGAAAGAGAGGAGGTAAAGATACACCAGTACAGAGAGTAAAGAATCCTCGGGTTTGTTCGACCATTCAAAAGGGCTTTTAAAGTGAAGAAAGAGAACAGAGGAACAAAAAAAAAAACTAGGCAGAGGCAAGAAAAAAGTCAGGCGTAAGAGGAAAGAAGTGGGGCCTTTGTGTTCAATCGTGTATTGGGTGGGAAGAGGATAAAGAGGGTGAGGAATTTTTGCGGGACGATGAGTCCCAAAGTGGTGTTAATGCTGGGGCTAGTGTTGGTCTCTGGCATTGTTGGTGGTACGGGCAGCGATGTTGGCCCAGCCGCTGCTACTAGGCAACGGCCATCACCCGTTTACAGCAATGAGTTTGCTGTGCATGTACCCGACGGACCGGAGGCTGCTGCTGCAATCGCCGAGAAACACGGCTTCGATAATATTGGCCAGGTGAGTGCATTATTTACTGGTTAATGGTCGTGAACTATGCATTAATGCGGGGTCAAAGCCAGTGACCTGTAACCTATTTTCAAGAGTTTTTGGTGCTTTATTCTGACGGACGCGGCGAGGGGGAGGGGTGTTAGTGATTCAAGTATCAGTTTAATATCCCACTTCCCACAATGAATCTGGAGGGATGTGGTAAACTGGGATAAGTGCATTGTTATGTAAATGCGTTTGTTTGCTCATAACAAATTAGTCCCCCACTGGGCCAGTCACAAACATTTAAAAATTTTAGCGGTCGTCATTAACAATTTAACGGTTTCAAGATGAAAGAAAAAATCTACAGTACATTTTATGTGGCAATGTCTCGAATGCTGAAAGAAAAGTGAACACGAAAGAAAAATTTTATAAATCTGATGTCTATAGCAAAACTGGTGAAAAATTGAAGTAAACCACAAAAATTTCGTTTTGTTAAGCGTAATTTACGGTTTGCTAAATGTAACTAACGCTTAAGGGGTAACAGAAGGTCACCGTTTCATCGAAATTTTTAAACAAATTTCCTACTCAAAGTTATTAATCTTTTTCGAACCCAAAGCACATGGATCTTCATTATCACCTCCTGGAGATTAATGTGCTTTGATTTATAAAAATATTGATAACTTTCGGCAGGAAATTTGTTTAGAAATTTGGAAAATTATGTGGCTTTTTGTCTGTCTGAAAATAGGAATTTAGGCTTCAAAAGGCGTATTTTATGCTAAGAAAACGTAAATTACGCACAAACAAATAGTTTTTTACGTTCTTACTAAGTGTCTTTTACTCTTAAAAAATCATAAATTACGATCTTAAGAATATCCAAGAATCTTTTACAGTTTGTTACAGAGCACACTATAGTTTCAACCATTTTCAATCATCAAATTTGTCAATTAAATCGCGTGAGGAAAATTTGATAAAAATCGTGAATATTCAGTGTCATTCAAATTAAATTCCGCTCAGAATAATTATTTTCTTAAACAATTGTTGTTTATGAAGAAATGATTGAAATTGTTTAAACTTTCGAAAATCCTATGTTTTTAGGCGTGAAATCGATTTCTGGTAAAATCCTGAATATGAATAAATTTGTTATGATTCCGAACAAATCAGTAGCTCCGTCAAACTGGGCAGCCAGGGTGCTCGGATCGCCTCGCTCAATAGCTCAAAATTACATGCTTTTTATATTTTTTTTTTCTGCGCGAACAAAAAATTTTCTGCTGAAATATTTTCGGCAAAAAATCGTTTTTTCCGATTCGGGCATCAACCTAGGCGGCCAATTTGCCAGAATGAGCTCAAAAACCATATTAAAGTATTCTCCGATTTATAACCTAATTTTGTGCGTCGAGCAAACTATGAATTAAAGAAAATTAATATTGAAGTTGAAATCATCTGGCAAATGAGTCACACAGTTTAGTTTTGTTGCGCACCAATTCTGCGTAGTAGGGAATTCTCATTCGTTCGTTACGAATTAAAAATTGAATAATTATAGAAAATATGGACAAAAAAATAAATTTTCGTCATTCAGGCCCGTTAGGTAGCGCCTACTATAGCTGTCTTGAGGGAAGCTAAATGGCGTTTAACAGACCAGGTCCGTTAAACGAAGCACAGGTATGGTTAACTCGAGTTAGCAGCCCTAGGACAATAAAAACATACAGTTTCTAGATGGGCAACCCACAAAACCTTCGTAGGAATACAACATGAAGTGTGCGGTTATCGCTGTCACTTGCTTGAAAACTCGGCGGATCGTTCACCACTAATACGATGCGCCACCGTCATTGCCGATGACATCAGGAGTTGTTATTCCGTTGCTAGGGAGTCAGTCGTAACTTGAGGGTTATATTGTCAAAATATTAGTTTAATAAAGAGATTATATTCACTTTCTCGTTATATATCTATTTTGAATAGATTATATATATATTTCTATTAAAATGTGATGAAAAATTTGAGTATGTTGTGAGAAGAAGAGGAACGATGAAAAAGAAAAGTTGTAAACTGTAGATGTTCACACGTTGATTTTCTCATGAGAATAAATTTAGAAAAATGATTAATCCTTCTTTTTATTCTTTCAATTTGTTGCAATTTCCATTTCAGGAGGAGGAAGATTTCCATTCTCATCTAGATGTTTTTTGAATGTTTTTGACAGACTCCGTGAATTACAACTTTTGCATTCGTTCTTTCGAATCTCAATTTAGGATTTTGCATCTCTTTTTCTTCAATATTTTCTCTTCACTTGTCATTTCGTTTTTCTACAGTGGGGGGGGCTTCGCCCCCCCCAACCCCCCCCCACCGGGGCCTGCGGCCCCTGGACCCCGCTTCTGCGTCCCCTCCCCTTCCCCTCCCCCTCACCTTCAACGGGCCTTCATGACAAAAAATAGTATGTGTCATACGGACCGTGACGTCGGTTTGCGATTCGTGTGAGTTAGCAGCACTCATCGCAAACCTCCGTCTACGGTCCTAATGACACAATATACTATTATGCACGACAGGAAATCAATGTCTCTTATAGTTATTAAAAATTCGCGTGAAAGAGAAAAATAACGAAATTTAGAGAATTTCATTAGTCCAATCAGCACAATTGATTTATTGTTGATTTGTACCGTATGAGAAATTCTATTGTGACGATAAAAAATATATTGCATTCTGCTGTCAATATCGGAGCTCTTCAGTCGCTTTTGTATATATCAGATTCCCAATATTCATTCAGCAATTTATACCCGAATTCATTTTTCATTTAATTAAAACAAGAATATCGCTGTCCCTTTATGATGAATATTTCATCAAATCGGAACAACAATTTTTTGTTGTTTGTGTTGATTAAAATCCATTTTTTCTCTGCAAAATTCCTCGACTATCGGGATTTATCCCGGAAATGAAGTCCCCTGCTAAATATGATCAATCTTCACTAATTCAAGGGTTTATTGTTGAGAAGTATTGTTGTTGAGAATTTAATTATTTGATTGCTATAACACGAAATCTATCCCAGCTATTGACAAAATTTTCAAACAAAAATAGTCCATACGCTGTGACAGGTTCCGTATACACTTTTAGGTCCATTGACTTTTAACATTGAACTTCACGTTTTTGGGATCCCTGAATACGAATATGTTAACCGTTTTTGCGAGATGTACACGAAGAGACATGTTTTATAAAAATTATCCTACCGTTCTGTAAAAGTGTATCGTAAGTCATCGTTTCCTCATTTCTATCCCAAAATTTAGGAAAAATTAATATATGAAGATCAAATTTTATTCTACGTTAGAGAAATTTTATCCTGACGCATATTAAATTTTACCCTTCCAGTCCAATAATTTTTATTTAGATAACAACGAAAATTCTAGAACGGTTGGTAAATTTTATCCTACCAGTGCAGTAATTTTTTCTCTACCGGCACGGTAATTTCTATTTTTATCAGGATAAAATTTCTCTAACGTAGAATTATATTCGAGCCTCGTCTTCGAGATTTTAAAAACTTGTAGTAGTCCGCCTGCGGATAGATAGAGCCACACACCTTCAGCGGCACCTCGGCGGTGAGAGCTCGCCATCTTATCATTGTTTTCGTGTGTGCGCGAGTGGAACGCACGCATTTCAGAGTTTCCAGTTTGTTTTGTTGTAATAATCTATTTTTCTCCGTTTTTTCACAGTCTTTCCATAGTCATGGATTATTGTAAGAAGAGGAAACATAAATTGTGTGGAATATCTAGAAATCTATAGTGAAATTGCAAATATTACGTGCATGGGCTTATCGACTTTTTCTTGGATAAATAATCGATTGGAAATAAAGGTAAGCGATGTTTCATGTCTCTCAGCCTTTTTAGACGTTCGGGTCAGATCCTAGAGACAGAACCAATCGATGTCAAAGGCTTTTTTAGGCCGAGTTTATTCCTTGTGGAACAACTCAGCCTAACCTCATTTTACCTGGTTCTCCAGGTCCTAGAGACAAAATCGAGAACAAGGAAATTAAAAACGAGATTGTTACAAATTTGTCAGATGGACGTTCATCCCTGACATCCAGGACAGTGCGAGCAATAGCTCAGACCTGTTGTGCTAAACAGATCTGCGCCTGACGCACCTAAGGCTCCAAGCCTTGTTCTACTATTTCAATAGTTGAATCTGCGCTTGACGCATTGATCCAAGGTTCCAACCCTTCTACTACTATTATGATAGGTACATCTGCGCCTGACGCATTAAAGTAAGGCTCTAAGCCTTCAAATACAAATGCAATTGTTGCATTTGCACCTGAGGCATCATTCAAGGCCTCAAACCTCCAAAATAATATTTCGCCTGAACTCGATTCAGGAATATAGGAGTTCCTGGGCCATCGAAGTCTCACGATGCCGAGATCTCTTTTCAGAGTGATCTGGAAGCTCGTTGGAGTTTCTGGCTGGTCTCGAATTTGTTGAGGCACAAATTACACAGATTTATGGAAATATCCACCAAATCTGAATTCAGAGATTGCTTTTATCTCCACCGAACCGTTGATCCATAGAGATAAAGAATTTTTAATTAATCTCAAAAGACGCAGGTTCTGCCCTCGTGGCATTGGGGGCGACTCCTCGAAGTCTGCTCTAGGAAAAGAAACTAGACAATAGTCCTCTTTCAGAAGTTGCGTGGTTCAAGAAAAATAATAAATTTTTAGTGCCCTTGAGGCTACAGCTCCAGTTAAATTTTTGTATGGCTTCACATTTTTTGGGAAGCTTGAGAAAATTAAAATAAATCTTCAAAATTGTGTCAAGGTTTCATCCACCTTTAGAGGAGAATTTAAATTCATTAGATTCAAAGGAGCTTGTTTTGATACGTAGAGTTAAAACAAATGGTTCAAAAACTTTGCATGCCTCAGGCTGAACAATAGGTCCAACCGGAGGTATTTCCTCAATCGTCCCAACGATTCTCGATCGACGTCAGCGTCTCCAGAGTTATCTTACTTCAGGAGAGCAAGAAGTAATGGCAAAAATCTCTGCAGCCATTCTTGAGCATTTCCT